ATATCTCAATGTTCAACCCCCAAAATATGTATAATTGATTTTGATTCAATAAATAAAACAAATTAAAATAAATAAATACATAAATAAATAAAGCGATGTGGTTGTGACCTAGCTGTGCGGTCAGTGTCGTGGTTTGCACTGGCAGCTCTTTGTCCGTACTGCTTTAGGGGCCTGCATGAGGCTCCATCATCTGCCTTGTTTACTTAACCAGCCCTGGTTGTGGATTGTGGATGGTTGCTGGTTATTTGCCATGATAAGTAATACAGTGGTGAATAACTCCTTGTGCATAAATTTCTTTCTTTCCTGACTATCCTGTTGTTAGTTCAAATTCCAGATGGGGAGTTCCTGGGTTCAGGGGCTACAGGTATTTACAAGGCTTTTACCAGGTCATTTTACAAAAGACCAATTTACATGCCCAACATTACATCAGAGTGAGGACGTAATTCTTTCCAAAGCACCCTGACCCCTTTGGGTCTTCACNCGTACTGCTTTAGGGGCCTGCATGAGGCTCCATCATCTGCCTTGTTTACTTAACCAGCCCTAGTTGTGGATTGTGGATGGTTGCTGGTTATTTGCCATGATAAGTAATACAGTGTTGAATAACTCCTTGTGCATAAATTTCTTTCTTTCCTGACTATCCTGTTGTTAGTTCAAATTCCAGATGGGGAGTTCCTGGGTTCAGGGGCTACAGGTATTTTACAAAAGACCAATTTACATGCGCAGCATTACATCAGAGTGAGGACGTAATTCTTTCCAAAGCACCCTGACCCCTTTGGGTCTTCACAACCACCTTGTGTGTTGCAGACAAGGAGACCAGGTTTCAAAGAGGAGAGAGGGCTTGCCTGCCTCCCTGCCACCCAAGCAGAGTGAGGACCCGAGGCCTGGATGCCAGCCCCTGCCCGCACCGCTGCCTCCCAGGGGAGGGCTGACTCTTCTCTTCTCCCTTGTCCTTGCACAGGCTGTGACAGGCTGTGGATCCCTCCTCTGTTGCCTTGGTGACCCTGGGCTCTTCAAAGGAGATGCTGTTCGAAGGAGGTCCCAGGCCCTGGGTCCTTGAGCCTTCGAAGTTCTTCCGGAACGTCACCTCCGAGGACACTGACAGCATCAGTCTGGCTCTCTTTGGCCCCCCTGCCTCCCGGAACTACCAGCAGCACTGGATCCTTGTGATCTGCCAGGCCTTGGGCGAGCAGGTGAGCAGGCAGCCCCCAGACCTACCTTGCCCAGAGTGAGGGATGGAAAACCATGTTCCCTGAGCATGGCTGTATTCCATCCTCAGAGTAACCCTGAGAGATAGCTGCGTAGCTGCTGGTGTCGTGTCCACTTTACAGGCAGGCAAACTAAGACTGGGTGTGGTGGAACGACGGCGTGAATACCAGGCAGGTTGGGCTTTTAGCATCCTCTGCTGCAAACAGGAAGTGGGGGCTGGGGTCACAAAGTCAAATGGCTCTAGGGTCAGGCAGGTGTCATAACTGAGGGAGGCCGCAGGCCCAAGGCAGGCATATCCCTTTAGTGCCTGAGGATACACTGTGTATTAGTCCATTTCTGTTGCTTATAACAAAATACACAGAACTGGGTGATTTATAAGAAAATGAAATGTATTGCTTACAGTTTCAGAAGCTGGGAAGTCCAAAGTCCAGGGGACAATCTGATGAGAGCTTCCTTTGGTGGTGACTTTAGTGGCGGCAGGGGATCACATTGTGAAATGGCGGGGCAGAGAGAGCAAGAGAGAGACAGACCCTCCTCTTTTTTTAAAGTCCTCAGAACCATGCCCCTGACCACCATTTTTAATCCATTCACTACTGCACGGTCCTACAATCCAATCACCTCTTCTAGGTTCTGCCTTTTAATTACCATAACAGGATTTCCCACCCTCTTAACAGTCACAGTGGGGGCTAAGTTTCTAATACATAAAACTTGGGGGACACACTTCAAGCTTTAGTGGGTTTTGGGGGGACATAATTCAATCCACTACCTGCTGGAAATCCAAATTTTTTTGTGTGGGAAATCTCTTGATTTTTTTGTTTTTTTTTTTAATGCCGAAAACCAAAAAAATTAGGAGGCCGAGTGGAAGGGACAAAACACATGTGTGATCAGAACCCCGACAGAGCTGGCATGGCTGGGTGAGAGTGGCAGCTGGCTGTCCAGGTCCCCTGGTGCCCGAACCCTCTTTTTTCTGGCCACGCCAAGGCTGAGGGCCATGGGCTTGTTTGGCTTATAGCAGGATCTGCTGTTCCATTCCTGGGGTTGCCCAAGGGCGGGAACAGAAAGTGAGGTGGGAGGACAACATGAATCAAGAAAGATAGGAGAGCCTGTTTCTTTAGGGAAGTGAAGAGTATTCCTGCTTGTTTAACAGTGCAAAGAATGTGAATTCATGTTAAAACACAGACTGCTCTGGTATGGGCAGCAAAGACACATGGTGAAAGGTCCCACTCCCCACTGGGTTTGGTTTTTGAAAAGAACAATGAACACATGATAATAATTCAATAATAAGAAGATTAGTCATGAATTAAGTTAGAAAACTCTTTTATTCCTATTTGACTCTGTCATCCAGGTCTCCACCCTGAGCTGTAAGAGTTCCATCCCCAAGCAGGGTCCCCTCTCGGCCCTCCCGACTCTGGTGCTTTGAGGCTCGCTCACTGGGGGCATCTGTGGAGGCAGGAAGTCTGCACAAAGTCAAGGGGTAGAGCCCTTTGTCCTGCTTCATGGTCGGGAAGGGTGAGGGGCTCTGGGACCAGACCACTGAGCTCTACAGAACACTCTCCTAGGCTGTGTCCTCCAGAGCCTTTTTCTGTTGATCTGTTCCTGGTGGATCTCGGTCCCTCATTCTATAGCATGTTCCTTCCCACCTCTGCACTTCGTTTTGATGTATGTTTGCAAGTCAATATGGACTTCTCATTTAAACACCCACAAACTTGTGAATTTGATAATGTAATCACAGGGTTCTTGCAGGGTCCTGGGAAACCATGAAGCATCACCAGGTCTACCTCTTCCTGGGACAGGAGCAGCCCATGGCTGTGGCCGAAGTTTGCAGGGGGCACTTGGGGCTCCCATCTGAGAGTCTCGTGCATGTTGAGAAAGTGCTTTCCCACACACACACGTCCCTGGGCCATTGTGGCCCCTGTGGTGTAGAAGCATCATCACCCCATCCTACACAAGAGAAAACTGGGTTAGGGAGCTCAGGTTGCACAGCTCAGAGAGGAGCGGGGACTCAAACCTGGGGTGTCTGACAGCTCCTCCCACCCCACCAGGTCATCGCCCTCTCGGTGGGAAACAAGCCCAGTCTCACCAACCCCCTCCCCGCGGTGGAGCCCGCCGTGGTGAAGTTCATCTGTGCCCCGCCGTCCAGGCTCACCCTCACGCCTGTCTACGCCAGCCCCCAGCTGGACCTGTCCTGTCCGCTGCTGCAGCAGAACAAGCAGGTGGTAAGTGCAGGCCACGCTCAGGGAGGGAGGACCCAGGGGGTCTCTAGCCTTCGGGACCTGAAAGTGGTGTGCTTTTATTCGCATTTTATATAGAGGTGGGACCTAGGGCTTGGAGAGGTGAGGTGGCTTACCAAAGTCATAGCTACTAGTAGCAGCGCTGGGTGAAGACAGAGTCCTGTCTGATTCCAGACTCAGCTGCCTCTCTCAGCTTGGCACTTGATAGTTTGTAAGAGTCTCGTCATTATCCTCTGTGACTTGAGGGTGTTAAGGTGGGGCTTGTCTGTGGGCAGAGTGCGTGAGGTCAGTGCAGGTCGGGCTGCCGGGGAGAGGGGAGCAGCTGCTGCATTCTCCATGGATGTGGGGGAGATTGGGGCTGTGTTTCAAAAGCAAATATTGGGGGCCGGCCCGGTGGCGCACTGGAGAGTGCGCCACTTGGGAGTGCGGTGGTGCTCCCGCCGAGGGTTCGGATCCCATGTGGAGACCGGTTCCCGCTCACTGGCTGAGCGCGGTGCGGGTGCAACACCGAGGGTTGCAATCCCGTTGCTGGTCCCCGGTACGGGCACGACACCGAGGGTTGCGATCCCGTTACTGGTCAGTAAAAAAAGACAAAAAGGAAAAAAAAAAAAGCAAATATTGGGAGCAAGGAGAAAGTCACTGGGGGGGGGTCAGGTTGACAGCAAGGATGTAGGCCTGCAAGTCTGGTCCCCTCGGCCTGGGGCCCATTCAGTCCTCAGTCCCTCGGGCATGCAGAGCCGGCGGGGAGGGGGTGGGGGTTGCTGAGAGTGCAGCTCAGGATGCAGAGCTCCCTCCAGCACAGCCCCTAGCCCCTTCTTGGAGGTGGGGCATAGGCTCCTCTGCGTTCGCTCAGCTTAGGCTTGTGGAGCGCCCTCTCTCTGCCAGGCAGAGTCCTAGGTTCTGAAGTACTGAGTGATCAGACAGGTGAGGAACCTGCCTCCAGGAGCCAACAGGGATGCCAGGGGGCCACAAGTAAGGTGGATTGGAGGTGGTGAGTGCTGTGAGGGGAGTGAAATGTCACAAGGAAGTTACTGGAGGAGGCCGCTTCAGGAGGAGCTGGGCAAGCCCTCTGAGAGGAGGACTTGTGCATGCTCTGGTCCAGGGTTGGGAGATGCCAGCCTAGCGGAGCCAAGGTGAAGGGTCCCAGGCAGGTAGAACAGCATATGCAAAAGCGCTGAGGCCAGACTGGGCTCTCTAGCGTCCCTACTGCACACACAATAATCAGAACAGTTTTGGGTGCTGGGAACATTCACCTCTGTGGCTGGCTTCCCCTCACCATGGCCCCTTTGGAGGCCAGGGTTGTCACACCCCTTCCACAGTTTTGCCCACGAGGCCCAGAGGCAGGCAGGGCCACAAAGGCAAAACCTAGATCTGTCCAGCTGCAAGTGCAAAGCCTCCCCAGTGGCCCCCAGGAGGCAGCTCTGGGATCAGAACCCTCTCACCTGCCTGCAGGTGGTTCTCCCTGCACACGTAACTGAGCCTTTCTGAAGCTTGCAGCCTCTTCCACCTTGGGGCAGCAAGGTTTGGGAGCTGGGTCCCAGCTGGATAGAGGAGGACAGCTTCATGTTGGATCTGAGTGTCTCTTTGAAGCTCTGCCCAGCTCCAATGTCTGGAATCTGGGAACAGTTCTGCTGTCTGCACTGGATTCTCTGCCTCCACCTTCCCTGCTGGCATGTAGCTTGGCTTTTCTTCCTGCTGCTCTGGTTACCGATGGGTTTGGACTCATCTGGAAAATCTGGCCTGTTGGGTCCTCCCTGGGTGAGGCCAAGAGCCAGAGACAGTGAGAACAGCTCCCTCTGCAGGCCCAGCACTAGGGACCGATGGCCTGGGCCCAAGTCTTACCTCACCGCTGTGGGAGCTGACCTCCTCTAAGCAGTCGTGACAGTGATGAATGACCTCCTAGTGCTCTTGTAGCAATAGATACGACTGGACACAAGGTGTAAGAGGGATAACTCTTACTCCTTTTAAGTTGTTCTCCGCTTAAAACCTACCAGAGGCTTCCCTTTCTTCTGGAGTAAGGGGCCAAAGGCCCTTCTGTGATCTGCAGACCCTGTGCCCCGGCCCTGGCTTCTTCCCTCTCATTCTGTGGATGTGCCATGGGACCCCTCCTTGGATCTGTGATTGCTGCTCCCCCATGCCCCCTCCCTGCCTCCTTCACTTCTTCACTTGGCTGTTGCCTTCTCAGGGCCTTCCCCAGCCTTCATACCTTGTCTGAAGTTTCACCGTCTCAACATGTCATGTTCCAGCCCCCCTACCCCCCAGCACTCACCATGGTCGAACACTGCAAAATTTACTTAGTTTATTCTTTGTGTGCCTCTAGAACAGAGCCTGGCTCATGGCAACAGCTCAAGAAATACATATGGAGGCATGAGAAAGCCAGTGAGCACGCTGGGCCTGTGTCCCCACTGTCTGTTGCCCTTGACTCCTGCAGACTCAAAGGCCTGTAGAAGCCAAACAGGGACACTGCTGGAGGAGGAGGCTAGGAGTAGATGGTGCTGAGCTGGAGAGCAGGTGCACTTCTGAAGGAGCAGCCCGCTCTGCTCGGTGACAGCTGGTTCCACACCAGGCTGGATGAGCTTTTTCATTTTCAATGGGAAAAACTCACATCTATATGCATCTTCTGTGCGCTTAGACATTGGCTACAAACCTAGCAAGCCATGTCCGGGCTGGGTGTACCTGGTCTGTCTGTTAGCTGGGGCCTGGTCTAGCCCAGGGTTGTCTCTCTTGACTGAAAGAAGGTCTGGTGGAAGA